TTCTGAGTTACACAGATTCTGTCCACAGCCTGTATCCTCTCATCTCAAAGACAAGGTCCCAATGATCTCATGTGGGTCTTTTTGTCCCAGCCTCTGGATGTGTCGGAGAGGAGCCAGGATGGGTACCCATCCCTCAGGTCTGTCTCCTCTCCCCACTTGTGCAAACACTCAAGGGATCCCAGGGCACTTCAGTTTCACTCTAATGTTCACATCGTGAGCCAACTCTCAGATGGGCTTCACAGAACCCCTCTCTCCTGACAGACGAGCTGGACCACTTGGTATCTGGGCCCTCCTCTGCGCCAGCAGAAAGCAAAACTCTCAATATTTTCTGAGTGCTGGACACCTTCCTTTCACTTCTCCAAGAAGGCAAATCTTCATCCTTTGAAGGCACACTGGAGTTTCTGTCTCAGCTGAGTGATCCTAAGTCAAGAATGGCTTGTTTCTCCCAAGGGCCACCATGGTTAATCAAGCACAGGAGGCCAAAAGGCTGTCTGGGGCTCAGGCCACGAACACTGCCTAGTGTGAGGGTGAAAAGGCAGCAAGTCGAGAGGGGTCCCTGCAGAGGGGCAGTCCCAGGCCTTGCCTGCCCACGAGGCTCTTCCCAGAGAGGCCACCTTCTGGGAGGGTCAGAGTTGAGAAGCACTGCTCTGAGGAGGGCTTCTCCACATCCGCACTGCCGACATTTAAGTGTAGAGTGATCTGCAGCATCCTTGGCTTCTACCCACTAGGTGACAAATGTCCCCAAGGACTAAAAAATTGCTCAGGATTAAGAACACTGCTTCAGGGGAACGTGGTGGAACAGGGCTGGGCCACTGCCAAGAACCCCAACTGCGCACTCTGAAATTCTGGGCAGCGGCAGCACCAGAAATGAAGGCTGCAGCTGTCACAGAGTGCCACCCCAACACAGATGGTTCCATGGCTGGGGTTTCCCATGTCTTGGGGTACTTCAGCCAGATTCAATTGGACTTTTTCAAATTAGGTTCCACATGCCAGTCCCACAAGGACATTTTACCCCATAATGACTTGAAATTGCACTTAAACCACACCCATTCTTAGACTGGAGAAAACAAGGCATGCTGAATGATGTGTGCAAACCCCAGCAGCAGCATGGGCCACTAGGTCACTGCAGACAGCCAGGAACAGGGTGTGGTGCTCACTGGAACACTGGAACCGGTTGCTGGCCCTGGCCAACTCAGAGTAAGGCGTCTAATGGCCTGGAACTGGACCATCTCTCGTGACCAAGAACCGTCCTGCCACCCACGCCACTTTCTCACACTGGCAACAGAGTAGAGAAACCTGCCCATTGCTCTGCTGGAGGGTCAGACACCCAGGCCTACAACGGTGCAGTTTTCTTTCTTTTTCTTTATTTGTCTACATTCAGCTGAATTCAGATGTACTGTCTGAATGATCCAGACATACAAAAAACCCACTCTTTCCCACTGGTTTTTAAAATAAAATCTTCACTTATAAAACTGAAACACTAAAGCATTAAAATACAGAAAGCTCGTTTAACTCACTTCACAAAAGCATTAACAGATGAGGTATCCCTTCTGTAACTATTTCAAGACAAACTGAGTTAACACTAACACCAATTGTAAATAGACAGAGGGATACTGAACTGCAAGAACTCAGAAAACTCTACTCAGACAAAGTTGTAATGGCAACTAACAAACCATTGAAGACGCAGAGTCCCAAACACGGCTAAATATGGGTCACAGGACGGGTCACAAGAGTGCCCAGCTGCACCTCACAACACAGCAACGTGGACGGGGTAGGGCGAGGGGGCCCGGAGGGGCCACAGACATGTTAACTGTGATGCATAAAACTGAATCTTACAACGAGGAGGGGTAAGTGCAGAAGGTACAAATCTTCACCCTCAGGGCTTTATCTGTACTGGTAGTTCATGCTGTGGTCTGCGTTTCTGCCGTAGCCTCCTTGTGATGACTGGTAGGAGCTGGGAGGGCCGCTATAATTCTGGCCGGACCCCGGGGAGTTGTAGTTCGACTGTGACGAGTAGCCTCCTGAGAGAGAGAGGGGATGGGGATCAGCCCAGTCACAGAGGCGTCAGCAGTGGGAGCTGTAACTGGGGCTGCCTAAGTACTGGGTTGGGCTCTCTGCCCCACACCAGGCCCTGTTTGACTCTCAGTATTGTCAGCATTTTTTCATGTCGGTGTCAACATTTAAGAGTAAGACAATTTCTGGCTTCTGAAAAGCCAAGAAGCTGGAAATACGCCTAACTCCATGCTCACACAAGGCCCCATGTGCCCGCGTCTCCTGCTCCATTCTCACCCCACGCAGAAGCCAAGAGGCAGCTGCCACTGCAGCCCGGCCCACACTGCCACACCCCTCCTCATAGCTTGTATGTGGCCCGGAGACCCCCATGCTGTGCCATCTGCCGCTCCAAGCCCACCTTGTTTGCCTTGGTAGGAGGAACTGCCCCCAGAACCTCCTCCGTAGCCCCCATGTGACCCTTGGTTGTAGGATGACCCGCCTGAGCCGTAGCTGTTCCCACCGCTTCGGCCTCCGCTACCACTGTAGTCTGGGAGAGAGAACACAGCGTGGTTAAGGGGCCTTGCACTATGGCCATGGATGTGGCAGGCCCTTGGCCGAGACCCTGGACATACACAAATTTCCCTGTCTGAACTGCTTACATGTGGAACGTCAGTCCCACCATGAAGTGCTAGGGGCCCAGATCACCACATTCTGAAGCTCTATTCCAAACTGCCTTCCCACCTGCTCCTCCAACCCAAGCTTCCCAGCAGTTCAGGAACCGGGCAGCCAGCTGTCCTGTCCCATCACAAACAACCAAACATCTACACTTCCCCAGCTGGGCCACCAGCACAGTACAGCCCACTGGGTCTGTGCATGAGGTGGAGCGAGGAGTTAATTCAGGCTCTTTCAGGGGTTACATGCAACCCCATCTCCAGAGACCACCTCGCAGTGGCTGCCCAGAATCATAGACTTCAGTCTCTTGAACCAGCCTCAACTCAGTCTCTGGGGCCTTGGCCTGGGGTCTCTGCTAGACCTGCCTTTCAGAGAAGGCGACAAGAAGGCAACAGCCAGGTGCTAGGCCAGGGGTACTCTGCCAGCTTCCTTTTAGTCCCTCGGCCAGAGGTGGGGCAGTGCTGAGCTTCTGGGGGACTGGATGCCAACTCACTGAATTTGCTCTCGTAGCTGTAGTCCGAGCCGCCGCCACCCCCGGGGGAGCTGTAGGAGTTGGAGTAGGAGTAGTTGCCTTGGCCGTGACTATAGCCTTTTTGCTTGCCCTGAGGGGGGCCGTAGTTGCTGTACTGGCTCTGGTTGTACGACTGCTGCTGGCTTGGGTGAGACTGGTAGCCCGAGCCATAGGAGGGCTTCTGCTGGCCCCCGTGCGGCTGCTTCTTCCCGGCATGTTTCGGGGGCACTGGCGAGTTGTAGTTGTCGCCTTGGTAATAGGAGCCATAGCCGGAGGAGCCACCACCGCCCCCGCCGCCGCCGCCGCCACCACCGGCATTCCCAGAATGCCCTCCATTGCTGTAGAACTGACCTAAACAGGAAGGCAGTAGGTCAGGCGAAGGCTACGGGAGATGGGGAAAGTGGAAAGGAGGGAAGGTCGCAGCTGTGGGCCCTGAAGGCTGACCCACTAGCCCACTGCCCAGACGGGGGCTGAGTGAAAGAGGAGGGAGAGCGAGGAACAGTGGCTCCGGTCCCTAAAGCAGTCTGGGCTGGCCCAGCCTTCAGCTCCACTCACCCGTCAGCTGATGACAACAATGGATCTTTGCCAAGCAGCAGCACGAGCAGCTTTTGCAGCGGATGTCAACGTTACAATGAGATGGGCTCCGAGTGCAGGATGACATTCACGACTAGCTGACCTCTACCCAGATGTCCCCATCAGTGACAGGAAAAGCAAAGCCCCGGAGAAGCAGCCAGCCCTTCCCCGCCGTGCTGGGAAGAGGATCGGCAGTCACAGGCCTGGGTGACCCCACGAATAGCCATGAGGCGCCCGAAACTGGTATCATTCCTGGAAGACCAACTGGTCTGACCTGGTTCTTAGAGAACCTGGAACAGAGACTTAGCCTAATGAACTGGGGGTTTCTCTCTGGTGGGACTTGTGCAAACATGACTTAAGGAGCAATTCAATAGCCCTGTGGAGAAAGGAGACTAACGCTGGGGTCAGGAGATCCAGGTGGGGACTGAAGCTACAGCCTTAGTGGTCCCCCAAAGGGCCCCTCCTTGTTCCCAGCACAGCTGCTGGGCGCAGGCAGGAATGAGCAGCAGGACTGACAAGCGTGCAGCAAGACCGCCACATTCTCAGACCCTGGAGCTGAGAATGTCACAGAGCTCCCCTCCCACCTCTGGTCATTAGATAAGGACCCCAGAACACAGATTTGTCATGCTTATGGACCCCACCAGACACTCAGGTGGGCCTGCGGGGGGATAGGTCAGCTAAGGTTGAGGGAGCAGAGGGGAGCAAGGGTTGTGTGGGTGGCTGTCCAGCCTAGGCAGTGGAGCTCCTGGGCTTCCAGAGCAGGTAGGCATGGGCATGTCTTTGCTGGCTGTGGCTCTGCCTCTTTCTATAGATGGCCAGGACTGCTGCCTGGTCAGCCCATGTGGGTGGGATGGGGAGGGGATGTGTCCAACCAGCCTGTCCCTCCCTCCCTCCCTCCTTTCCTTCCCATGTTTAGCACCAAGGGGCTCCCTGCGTCTTGAGTGAATTTGGGAGTCCTCACAAACCGTCCACCCACTGAAGATGTGCGCCCCACAATGATGTGCATTGGTTTGTTTGAACAAAAATTTGGATAGAACTAATCTCCGCCATGGGTTTATTTTCTACAGGTGGGCTGCCCTCCCCCCACCTCGGCCCCATCACAAAATCAAGGAGAAGAACGTGCCCCACAATGCAAGAGAGCAAACATGCGAGAAGGCCAGAGGACAGGAGGTCCTCTTTGGGTACCCTCTTAGAACCCTGCCACATCAGCTGCCCTTCCTCAAACACGGGAATGAATGAAGACGCCAAGTAGTGAGGGCTTGTTACTTTAACATGTATTGATTAAAAAAAAATAAAGGGATGGGGAAGTTTTCAACGTCATTCAGGATAACTATTTCCTGGTATAAAAAGACATTATTCTCAAACAATAACTTTCTAAAAAAAAATACATCATGCAATCAGTTTTAAAAAGTTTCACTGAATGTTTCAAACCTCTGGGAACAAATTATGCAGTAACCGTTTTGACCAGTTTTTGCCTGAATAAACGCAAAATCTTGCAAGTCAACGCAGAGGCAGGCTTTGCTGCAAAAAGATCTGCTGATGGGAGCCAAAACCAGGCTTGTTTCCAGGGACTCCCACCAGGAAACGGGGGCCTGAGTAAAGAGCCCAATCGCCTGTGTGTGCCTCTGTACACAGGAAGAAGTGACAAATGCAAGTCTGCACCCTAAGGTGAGAGGGTGGAAGCTTCCAGGGCTTCTGGAATCTGCCGCGGATGCACACCCAGCAGCAGGCCCTGCTGAGGCCAGTTCTTCACTGGAGAATTGAGCTACATATTAGGCTCTTTCTGCTTGTTTTAAAAGTCCCATAAAAATATTAACAGAAATTCTAGAATCCCATGCATTTAGAACTGTTATTAGGACTTGCAAAATTCTGCGCTATCGCTCCCTTAAAGCCTGTCTGTTTCTTGCACTAAATGATGAAAGCACAGTTTTGATACCTTTGAGAGTTCACTTCTCGCTAAACCAGCCATAGTCTATCCATCCCCAAACACGAACCCACCAGAGCATTTACAAGAGGCGGGAGAGGTAACTTAGCACAATATACAATTCCCAAATGTTCCCAATGTTTTACATGCTTATTTAAAAAAAAAGAAAAAAGAAAAAAAAAAAGTCAGTTGCTCTGGATACTGATGTGGTGAAATCGTTTTCATCACTGTCAAAGGCATCAACCAGATTTGGGAATTTGTTAAAAGGTTAAAAATTCATACAAAACCTGCTGTAAATTAAGACAAAGGTAGATTAAAATGTATCATTATGTCTCTTAAATAAAGTAATGCTTTCCATAAAAAGCAAAGGTGGGCTTTTGCCTTGATGCTGACCAACGCTGGCTCTAGAATTCTGTGCAATTCTGCACAAAAAAAATGCACTCTGAAAATTGCTTTCCACTTATTGTGAACTTCAATATGACCAAGTTCAAAGGCAAATCACGATAAAAACTGCCATTGTCTTAAATTCTGCAGGCTAAGAGTTTCAGACAAGCTGCGGTGACAAGCCACGGTTGAGAAACCCAGTGAAGCACAAGGGCACAGCACGGACACTTTGGGTTTTGGAGTTCGAGAAAATTGGAGTAAAAAGTTGATTTTGTGTGCAATACTTTTAGATGCTCTAGGAAGACCCAAAATCATGATAGCCGTAGCAGTCTGTGAAAAAGTCACCTACAAAAGGGGGAGACAGAGCAGAGAAAAAAAATTAGAATTCTTTTGAAAAATGGCACAGAGCGCCACAATTGAAATTCATGTTTTAGATTTCTCTGCTCCTGTAACCCCCCAGTGAAGGCTCCTTCTCAAGACAAGAGCTGTGCACTGTCAGGAAAAGCATATTCACAGGACTGGTGCTTCATTCGCATGGCTTAAAGCAGAGAAATTTAAAATTTTGACTTTAAAGGAATTTTCAAGTCACTGTGTGACAACATTTACACAGTAAATCACACTTTTGTAGGATGGGGGTGGGGTGGGGAAGAGGGCTTTGAGGACCACTTGACCTAATCACTAAGAACATGTGTGGGCAACCCTGCTCTAACTCAGGCACAGGAGCTAAACTGCAGCTTCTTCCCAAGTTCACACAAAGAGAAATACACACTTACTGTAGCCAGCTGTTGCCGAGTTGCCTCCGTACCCATAGCTGCCATACCCAGCGCCTGGAAGGGAACAGACAGTTACCAGGGCTGGGGGCAGGTCTCCCCTATTCTCACCTCTCCCAGCATCTCAGCTTGACCCCAAGGGACTTGCATATCCCAGGGAGCAAGCCTGGCCCATGGGGACAGTACAAGGGTCCTCACCAGCATTCATGTAGCCTCCATGGTTGGCGCCACCAAATCCTCTCCCTCTCCCTCGACCACGGATGTTCCCTCCTCTTCCCCGCCCTCGAAGGTTCGGGGGCGGGGGCACTTCGTTATGCATGGGGCCTCCCATGCCAAAGCCAGGGTTATGGGGCTGGACAGGAGAACAGACAAGTTATATTCGCCTCATGCTCAGGTAAACAGAATTTGTGCCAAGGCCAGAGATCTCAAGGGCAACCAGTTACCTTAGCAGCAAATTTCGGTCCACCTCTGACAGGCACGGGCGCTCTCTTCTTTTTGTTGGCTTCGAGAGCGAGAGGGGCATCGGGGAACAGCTTTTCTAGTGCAGCAAGAGCAGCGTATGCTTTTGCCACCTTTTTGTTTGAGCCAGCACCTTGAAACTTCTGTCCATCCACCTCGACCTGGGAAGAGCGGACACATGTCCAAAGTGATTCAACGCCTCCCTCCATGTCAGGGGAATTCTCCAAAGGCCACAGGCCTTCAGGGGAATGGCCCCAGGACCGCTCACCTCCATGACAAAGCGCTTGTCATGGCTGCCACCAGTCTCTGAGATGAGCTCGTACTTGAGGCCACGCCTCTTCTCGTTAAGCTCCATGACGGGATTCTTGCCATGCTTGGTCAGGATCGGCCCCTGCTGTTTTACGTTCTCAGGGGAAACAGAAAAGAAAACCAACACACTCAGCTAAGGGCTGTCCAACAAATGAAGAATAGCCACACCCGCATCATGACCAAGGCCCTCTGCTCAATGTACTCTGCTGTTCATTGACACCCTCACCTCCAAAGTCATCTGTGAGCCTCCCAGCAATGGGACAACCTCCCCCTCACCCTCTCTGTCTGGGGAATTGCCTGTCCTCCACTGAGAGCCACCCCAGTGCAGATCTGAGTGCTGCGTCAACATCGGCAAAGCCCTCTTGGTCATGGCTCAAAGGCTCACACCCTATAGGTTCCTGGACTGGAAAGTGACTCCTTTCAGGGGAAATGATAAGGACCAGTAGCCATCCAGGCTCACAGGATACAGGGCTGCCTGCTCCATCCTGTTAAGACACTCTGGAGCCCACCATGAGCTCACCTCGGCAGTGGGATCTGAGGTGAAGGCAGCACTGGGGGTTGAGGCAGCTTCTACCACAGGTGGAGGGGCCACCACAGCTGGCTTGGCTTCTGTCTCCTCAGCCGAGTCCTCCCCTTTACTGGAGTCTCTGCCTTCAGCACCCGTAGGCAAGCCCATATCCTGTAACACCTGGGAAGGAGACCCACGGGTGCCCCAGTAAGGGAGGGCCCAGCACTGGGGCATCCTGGCCCAGAATCTCCTAGAGTTGTGTCCAGCAATATGGAGGGTGTTTTTTCCTTTAGCTCCCCACATGCCCAGCTATGTGTGAACACCTTCTGCCTGTCAGTCACGACAATGGCATCCTTGCCACATGTGATTTGGCAAACACTCAAAAACCTAACCATTTCAGTGTTCACACACCCTCATGGTACCTTCACCAAGGGCTTAAATAGGGCACAACAGCTCTGAAGGAGCCACAGATGAAGAAAATGCTTTTGCAGTCCAGAGGACAAGTATAGGCTGCACAAGATCGCTGGCCACCCTACCTTAACAGCCACATGCAGCTTGGCAGTCTTTTTAGATGGTCCGGAGGCTTCGAATGAGCTGCCATCTACCTCCACAGACATGGTGAAGATGGGGGCATGGACCGGCCCGGCCTGGGAAACCAGTTTATACTGCAGCCCCGGCTTCAGCTGGTTCAACCTCATCAGGGCATTCATAGCCTGGGGAGGCTCTGCCTTCTCCTCTAGAGAGAGACCACCAACATCATCTGGAACATCAGTCAATTCTGAATCAGGGAGGGGGTATGACTTCTGACAGCCTCGTGTCATGGGACGAAGTGGATTGGGTGGCCACATACACCAAGGCCTTGCCTGTGCTGTTCCCAGGCAAAAGACACCCAAGGGGTCACCAGCTGGGGCACATCCACCCTACTTGTGTTTCGTACCCATGTTATACTTAATAGTTTAAAAATGACTTAAATATCATGTCCAAAAAAAGTAAGGCTTTAAAAAGCAGGCTTCTCCCCACTTTGGGGTGAACCTTAACTGGGAGCAAAGCGTCAAGAAGGCCCAAGAACAAATGCCTGTACCTTTCTTCTGAATCTTCTTCTTCTTTTTGCTCGGAGACTTTTCTTCCCCATCCTCCTCCATCGGGCGTTTCATGGGCGTAATGGCATAGGTGGTACTGGGAGGGATTTGAACTGAAAGAATAGATTAGGACAGAAGCAACTGAGAGTCCTGTCTGGCGCTCTGTGGGGAAGTCTATGAGGCTGTCACCCAGCCGAGCCCCCTTGGCATGCTTACCTGTGTAGTCCACTGGGTTTTCATTCTTTGGTTTCTTGGGCATCTTAGAAGGCAGAGGGTCCATACCCAGGACTTTATGCAGCTGGCCGAACGCAGCGAGTCGCAGAGCATGCTGGAAAAGGGTAAGAGGAATAGGAGCCTGACTCAGCCACCCTGCACTCCTGGCCAAGGTGTGTGCGCTTGCTAATGCCTTCTGCAAGGGGTAGGAGCTGAGGGGTTTGCTACTGATCTCCCCTACAACAGCAAGGGGTCCCCCAACAGCCAGGGGAGGACCTGACTGCCAGGCCCCAGCCTTGCTGTGGGGGAAGGCCAGCCTGTGACCACCCGCCTAGAGAAGGATACAGGAGACCCCAACCTGGAGACTGGTTGCCACACGGAGCCACGTGGGGGGCCTGCAAGGGAAGGACCCCTGGAGCAGTCCACACAGCAAATATATCTCCCCGCTGAACTCGGTGACTGAAAACAGCACTCGAGCAGGCTGAGGGGCAGGCGACAACCACGCGTGGCACCAGCGGAAAGAAGCATCCCAGATTGGGGCACCCTGTATCAGGCATGATCCTTTTGCCTTCAGTCCCCAACCTGAGCCTATGAGTCCAGTGGTGACCCTGAGAATACCCAGTAATGGAACTAGAAGCCAGTGATTACAGACTGGGTAAGGGCTCACGGTGGCAATGGTGATGACTATACCTGCGCACTCTGTGTGATATCTTCCCGTTGCTGTCTGTCTAGATGCCCAATAGCATCAGTGGCTTCTTTTTCACAAGGGTCATAAATGCCAGAACCATCTGAAGGCAGGAAACAAGGAAGATATGCAGAGGATTATCTTTTAGCATCTCTGAAGAGTTGTGCTGGCTGAGGGAACCAGATGCGTTACCCCCCACGCCCCATCCACACCCAGCTCTGGAAAACACGCCGAGCTCGGTGACCCACTCAGCGTCCAGCCCATGAGAGAAATAATCCACATGTGTCTCAGAGCAAGGAGCTCACGTGGGAGTGGGTCACCACTGTCCCGGATCCGCCCTGAGTCACAGCTGCGGAGCCGGCACAGGGCTGGATATGATGGTGCAAGAGGGTAGTCACATGCTTCAGCCCTAGGGGGACACGGTGTTGCTATTGCCCTAACCCAGTCAGAGGGACCCCGCCAAGAAGTGGCCTCAGGGCCTTGATCCCTGTCCTTTCCCAGCAACTTGCAAAGCACAAGGCCCCAACCTGGCATCACGATGCCTGACGCCAAGCACTCCAGCACTCTCCGCAGGGCCTCGCCAGCACCCATGGGTCTGTTGGCTGTGCCGATGGACTTCTCACAGAGAAGCTCGAGGGGCTGAAAGATAAGGGGGACAGTTAGCCAGTGTACAGAAGGGGGGTCAGCCGATGCTGAGGAGCTGTCACTGTGTGGTGTGTGGAGCCGGGCTGGCACAGGGAGTCACAGCTGTCCAACTTCACAAGTCGGGGCTAAGCCAAACTGGACACCCAGAGCCGGGCTCAGCAGACATTTCCTTAAAGGACAACACATTCCATCCTTTAGGTTGCGTAGGCCAGGAAGCCAAGCTGAGGCTATTATGTAGGTACTCATATTTGAAAGTACAAACATCATTCTTAACTGTGGGCCGTATAGGAAAACAGGCAGCTTGCAAGAGTTGGCATGTAGGCCCATTTGCTGACCTCTGGTCAAGAACAGTGACAACGGCTTCATAATGAAGTGGAGCACGTCACAGTAAGCGTGCTGCCTGGCCAGTCCCCTCCCTAGGTTGACCTGTGCACCTGCCATGAGGGTTCCTGATCTCACTCTCACCCCCAACCCAGGATGTGGCACACATTAGTCGCTCAACAAGCAGCTATGATAGGGACATATCAGCCACACCTCAAAGGGCCACTCCAGCCCCGTTACCATAAGGTATTCCTGGGCTATGGGAACAGGTCTCTGCACACATGACCCCCAGATGGCCATAGCTACAAAGTGCCTTACCCATCCTCTGAGAGGACCCCAGGTGGGCACACGGGTGCACAGGTCCCTCAGGACCCGGATGACAATGACACATGACTTCAGCCCGTTGGCTCTGGCCTAGAAGAACAAAGCACAGGCTCTTTATACCACGATACTTCCCGGAACACAAGGCAAACGTGAACAACACAAGTCTCAGGGGCGCTACTTTGTCCAGGGTAAAAGGGTGAATATTCACAACCATCAAATGTGTGGTCGGCAGCAATGCCACCATGTAGACAAGAATAATGGTACTCTTGGCACAAAGCAGCAGCAGCCCACCTACTCAGTCACAAGCCTCCTTGGGGGTGTCAAATTGTTATGTGCTCTTTGTTAGCAACTGCACACCTGCAGGTGCTAAGTTCAGCACGGCGCTCTTCAATGTTACCGAAACTTTATGGTGCAAGTTAGCCAAGTTAAAACTTAGGAATTCTCTACCGAAAGACAAATAGAAGAACAAAATGCAAACCTGGAACCACTTGGCGTGTCGGAGGGACGCCAAGGCAGCAAGGCATTTCTGCCTGTCCAGGACGTCCGGGGGGTCGTTGACTGATAGCGTTTCTATTCATGGATGGAATAAGAAGACAAGGCACAGTTTGACCAAGGGGTTTCTGTCAGGTGGAAAGGGGATGTGGCAGCTTCCTAAAGGGCAGCAGAGGCTCCCAGAATCTCAAGTCATCTCCGCCCTGGACCAGGGAAGGAGAAGCCAGAGTGTGTTAACTCTGCCCAGAGAGAAAATCGTAAAAATCAGAGGCCCCTCAAAAAAAAAAAAAAAAAAAGGGAAAAAGAAAAAAGAAAACACAAGTGGGAAGTTACACTACAAGGAATAATCCCATAGCGGATGGGACATATAGGTGGATCCTATCTAATCTAACAGACTTGTTACCTTGCTTCCTCCCTATGATCTCCCAATAAATTAGCTATGCTAAAAATTTCAATTGGGGGGTGGGGGGGAACGACCCGCACACACACATACACAACACACACACATAAAAAACCCCACAAAAAAGGTGGGGGAAGTGGAAATGAACTTCCTCTCTGCTTCCCACAATAGCCATCCTAAGGCGTCTGTAGCAAAGGGGACCACCTCTGCCCACCAGGCGGGACTGCCCTAGCCCCAGCCCTTGACAGAGAGAGTCCTGTTGGTCAAAGGTCCAGCGTCCCTAAATTGATAAGCTAGTAGGGCTTTGGTAGTTGGAATCAGATATCAGAATCAAGGTAATCAAAGAACAGCAACAAGAGTGCCAAGTGTGAGCCTATGCTGCAGCAAAACCAAAGCGTTTGTGCCTTCTGCCGGCTGCGTATCAGGGATTTGGATAAGGCCTGTTTCCTTTACTTTGTGGTGTGAGATTTGAGATTAATAAACATCCACACAGAAGAGATGTATGAGTGGCCCTGGGTGGACTTGAAATTGTGAAAGCATTATTACCATCTGAGGTTTTGTTTTGAAAAATCACACAACTGTTTAAAACTTTATCCAAAACTCTGTATCAGCTCTTCGCATTTCAATCACTGAACTGATAAAAGCAGCCAATGGAAGGAGGACAAACGAAGAAGCCCTCAGTTCTGCGGCACCACAAGCTGTTAGCACAACTCCAACATGTTCATGCAGAAACCATCTGGTTGTCTTCCATATTTTAAAAACTGTAACATCACCCGAGACAGCTTTTCCAAGGCCAGAGAATGGCTAAACAGAAAACCCAAGTATAACACTGATGACAAATTCAAGGATCAAGATAAACCAAAATGGTGCAATCATCTGAAAAGTGCTACTCACTTTTAGTGCAACTGTTTGTTCAAACTCCCCAGTACCAAAACCGAACGGGAGGTATGATCTCAGAGTCATGTTAAACTCCCCAGTACCAAAACCGAACGGGAGATATGATCTCAGAGTAAAGGTGGGCAAAACTACACCGATATCCTTCTATCAACGCAGTCTAAAACTGAATAGCACATTTGAACAGTGAGGGAACACCAAGTTTCCAAAGTCTGCTGGCCTTCTCAGCCTCCCTACCTCCAGCTAACACTTTCTCCATTTCTTCTCTGACAACGGGAGATGTCAGGTGGATGGTCAAGGACAATGGAGGTTCTTTTGTGTTTTTTATCACAATCGCAGCATCATCAACAGATTGGAGTATTTCGTACTTGTCTTCTGTAACAGCCTAAAAAATAAAATGCAACTTTCGAAAACACTTTCTCCTCAAGGGAATCAACAGTTCTGTTTAGCCCTGCTTGTTACTGCAGCAGACAGGCCAATTTCTTGGGGCATGACGGACAGCAGTCCCTTCATCCAGGGGGTAAGGACCTCCCTCTCGCTGGCTAGGTCTTGGCCATTTCTGGGTACTTCGTAAAGAAAGAAGTAATTTCACAGGGAGCTTCATAATGCAATAGGCAAGAGTTTAAGGTCTGTGAGGAGACGAGTTTGAATCCGCATTTTGACATTTGGTGGTTGTATAACTTTAATCACTAATCTCATTAAGATTGTGGTTTCTCATTTGTAAAATGGACTTAATGACATAACCTACACCACAAAGCTGCAGGAGGCTTAAAGTGGGCTCTGCATGGAAAGCACAGCGCCCAGCATACAACGGGCATCCAGCCACCGCTATTTCCAAACCTGGATAAGTTGTGTGAAGTAAAAACGGTGTAGTCTGTATAAAATGATGCATATTAAAGCATGTACTTGCTGCAAATGAATGTGTCTATAAGGATGGTCACAACAGTCTGACTTCTGCTTTCTTCTTTATAAGTTATATACCTTGATAAAGAAAATTCAACCTTTTATGATTTTTTTAAAGGGAAACAAAGTAAGTATCACGTAGCAGGAAGGACAACTACACTTTGAAAAATCTCACTTGGGGTTTTTCTCCCTCAGCTATACTGGCCTTCAGGCTGGAACATTCTGGGGAGTGGGGCTGTCTTGTGCATTGTAGGATGATGAGCAATATCTCCAGCTTCCACCCAATTGATGCCATTAGCACCCCCGACTCATCACACTGTGAAAACCAAAACTGTCCCCAGAATCTGCCATGTCCCCTGGGGGGAAAAACTGCCCCAGTCAAGAAACACTAACTTAAATCAACAAAAACACACTTTATTTGTATCTTTCTCTAAAGAGCAACTCTATATAAAAAGTTGTCCTTCCTTTAGAAACACATCAACTTAATCTTCTTCAATTAGTATGTTTTTTATAGATAAGGATAAAATTAACTTAAAAATTACTTAGTAATTCGGGGTTTCGTACATAGCAGAGCAGCTCCCTCGCTGCGATCTACTGAAAGCCCTCGACACAAGGGTTTGTAAAAAATAAAAATAAATAAAAAAATTACTTAGTACTAAAACAGGAAAGCTTAGGGATTCATCTTAAATACCGCTCCAGAAGTATCTGCTATATTGCATTAGCTCCATATTTCAATTCAGACCTTTGTCCCGAACCCCAAATTGTTAGTCACATGCGACGGAATCCGTGTTTACATACAAACGTGAACGGTGGTGTGTTTCTAAGGAATGAGATTTTTTAACTTTTGCTTTTACTTTCTTCTTTTGCTTATCCTGTCACTAAATCCAGAGTGACTGTGTCCCAAGGAGGCAGCACATGGCCGTGATGAAGCCCAGTACTCACCAGCTGGGGATGCTGGGGTCAGTTCATCAGCATTCCTGTACCTCAGTCACATCTTCCCAAATACTTAGAAGACAAAGCCCTAAGAAGGGCGTTGTGAAGATGAAATGATACTTGTGATGCGCATGCCTGGCCTAGGATGGGGTGTAGTAAATGCTCAAGGAATGTCACAGGCTATTCTTTATGCAATACTTTTGTGATGAAACAAACTTGTTTTTAAAAAGTTTTTGTTTATGTCCAGGTTTGGATCAGGGAGGAAGAGTTAATCATTGTACTATCTATGCATCTACCCAATGGTGTCTGGATGTGACGTTCACGCCAAGTGAGGCCTTAGAACAGCATAGCCCGAGCATCTGGGTGCAATTCGCAGTCAGCTAGCCACTGTCCACAGCACCTCAGTGGCTCTGGGGCATTTTGCCTGTTACCTATCCAGAAGGCGTGAGCATAACAGGTGCAAGGGTGCGTTTGGAATGTGCCTCGTAGCACACGGCAGTTAGGCATCTCTTCCTCTGCCCCTCATTCTCAATAAGTAACACCCATCTCCACCCAGTGGAGGCAGTCACTCACAGTGAGCTGGATGGCCAGGTTGTCAGCCACCTTGTCCAATAGGGCAGTCGTGGGCTTCTCCTTGCATAGTAGTACCAACTCCAGGTCCAAATCCCCCTTGAGCAGTAGGCCCTTTGCCACAAGGCCAACACGCATCACACCCCGCAGGGTTCTGGTCATGTGCTCCGTCTTCTGCTCCCTGAGAGACAGACCAATGCATGGTAAGTGAGGGATTCAGTCGGGCCAGAACCCAGAGGCACCAGAAAGGCTGGAGTTTCTTTAGAAAAGAAGATGGCCGGTCTCCCTGGGGAGGGGGGGGGGGGTCGGCAATAAAACTTCAAACTTACCCTGCCCCTTCTTTGGTCTCATCCTCCGGGGGCATTTCCAAGTTCTCAGACTCAGCGTGCTCGCCACTGCCTTTCTCCTGCTCATCAATCCAGTCGGACACAGCTTTGAGAGCCCGCTCTGTGTGGGACACCATGTTCTGGACGGCCTCCAGTTCCTCTTGGGTTGGATAAACAGAAGAATGCTTTGCCATCACGTGGCGATCATCATTTACAAAAATTCGCAATGGACGCTGAAAATATGGAAACTCAGTTAAAAACAATGCAGGGACACAAAGCAACCTACAGCTTACCTTTTAAGCTGCACAGCTCATAACTATGCTTTATCATTCATGTGAAAATAAGGCTACAGTAGTACACCCCTATCCGCGGGAATACATCCCAAGACCCCCAGTGGATGCCTGAAACCTCAGGTAGTACTGAACCCTATATATACTATGTTATGTGCTTGTCCTATGTGTATATAACTCTGATAAAGTTTAATTTATAAATCACGCACAGTAAGAGATTAACAGTAAATAATAAAATATACTATAAAAGTTATGTAAATGTGTTATTTCTTTCTCTCAAAATATCTCATTGTACTGTACTCGCCTTTCCTCATCTTCTTGTGATGTGATGACACAATGCCTACATGATGAGATGAAGTGAGGTGAATTTGAATTGTTTATTCCTGGAATTTTCCATATATTTTTGGTCTGCGGTTGACAACAGGTAACTGAAACCGCGGAAAGCAAAGCCACGGATAACGGGGGACTACTGTATATGAACATTACTGAAGGTCAGAAAAGTACAACCAAATATAACAGTTGTCTTTTCTTTCTCTAGGCAGTGAGGGAAGGAGGCACTTACTTTATATATTTTATAATATTTGAATTGCTACACTATGTAGTATAATTTTAAAAATCTAATGAAAAATAATAGAATCAAATGTTTTGAGGCAATACTACAAACATTTGTACACGAATGGAGAAATAGCATCTATGATTTAAAAAAAATTTTTCTTACCATTTTTACTTCTTTTTCTGTAGTGTCTGGAAATCAAATTTTGCTTATCTTTTCAAATTATGACAGATTTCCTTGGTGTTATCAATACTTCGACTATCTATAAGATCAGAAAATCTTTTTAGTTTCAATAATTTCACAGATGGATGAATTTTAGAACCCAGACAGCTGTGCTGCCTCATGAAGGAGCCCTGTTAGCACATCAGGACACATCTTTGTTTCCAAGTAACCACCACTAAGCCAAGGTATAAACAACTAATTATAAAATTCCCTAAAATGAAAACAGCTGGTTTCTGAAACCCGAGTCTCACCTCAGGCCCACACTGAGATGATTTTTACTTTTTCTATCTTCTTTCATCATTTCTTATATAATACATGCCAATTTTTACAAATATAAAAATATTAACAAGCCTCCAAAAAATGGTACAGGTAGAAATGTTCAGATAAATCTTGGTGTTTGGAGAAGGAAAGAGAAGGAAGGAGCTCTGATCCTTGAGGATAATGAAGACATAAGGAAAGCAGGAGACGTAGGGCCCCAAAAGGCTTCTACAACTTGGAAAGGCAAGAACCATCTGAAACGTCAGGTGGATGTGACCGCTAAACCACATGGACACACCTGTGGGTTCGGCTTTGCAGAGGCTGATACAACTGAAATGCACAACAGCGGTCTTCAAGACAAACGTAGCAATAATTACAATTTTGGACTCTTTAAATAGTATGCTGACTACAACCTACTCAATTCCCACTCTGTGCATGCAAATAGTCTGGTCCACACTGATATCTTCCAAATAAGAACAATAACAAAAAAACCCATCAACATGACATGCAAAAGATGAATGCACCCATTCCATGCAACCACCTAGCAGCTAGCTCCTTCAATCTAAGCCAGTTACCAATCAGGGCAGCAGGCTCATCCTGGAAAGGCACCTGCTTCTAGGACAAACATTGATGTGATTGGCCAAAACAAGAATTTCCCACAATTCTTTAGGATGACTTAACAATCAAATCGAAAATTTAAAGGTTCCAAAGTAGAACTTGAAAATTTAAGAGTGGAATGGAAGGCGATGGCCCTGCAGAGCCAGGCTAGAAGACAGATGGGATCAAAGGCTTCATGGTAGGGGAGAGAGAAGGCACAGGAGTGGGGAGAGGAGGACCAGTCCCTGGGCTCAGCTGCTGGCTGTGCGTGGGCCCTTGGTGAGCCACTTGGTTGTCACCAAGAGGGAGCTTCCATACACACACCTGGGCCTGAAACCCTGCTTAGCCACCCACACTACCCATTTGGCCTTTAAGTTTCCTTGGAGCTTCTTTCTACCCCTGCAACATGGAAGCAGCCTCTCCCCCTCTGCAGGAGACTGAAAAGTGAATGACTCAACCTTTGCAAAGGATGAAGCACAGTTACAGTCCGATCTACATACATCAACAGGCTGATGTGGGAGCTAAGTGATGAGTGATATGCACGCAAAAGCACATCCTCCTGTAGTTAGGAATCATCACCGTTCAGTTGGGGACAAATGATACTATGGTTGTGTTCGAAAAGAATGCCTTTACCTGCTAGATACATATTTAAGATAATTTTATGGCTAAAAGCACATGCCCAGTATTTGCTCTTAAATACTCCAGTGAGGTGGGGAGTGAAGAAGGATGAAACAAGACTGCACAATACTGATAGCTGTTGAAGCTGGGGGATGGGTATACTGGGATTCATTTGCACCTATTTGACAATTTCTGTAATAGTTTTTTTTTAAATGCACAGTAAACTTAAGTATTCTTCTTACAAAACTGCAGCCATGATAAGTAATCTAAAAATCAAACCAAAGCTCAGAAAACCAATTCCAAACCAATAAGGAGGCCACCAGAAATCATAGCCTAATGGTGAGAACCCATGTTAAACAGCGACCAGTCCTGGCCATATCTACACTGGAACCTCATCAATCTGATAACGAAGGCTGATGTTTAAAGACGTAGTTATTTATTCAACATGCATTCAGTGTGCAACTCCTCTGTGCCAAGCCCTGGGCTACCTGGTGTGATCATGATGGACATGGCCCGCAAGTCCCCTGTTCCTTAAGACGTGGCTAGCTAGCACACCCTGAAGGACAAACTCCCTCCCTCCAAGTCTGACAAGGTGCAGGAACCAATGCTTTATTGTACACCTACCACCTATTCAATCTCACATCCCTCCTCAAATATCAAATCTAGAGATTTTAAAAATAACACAGCTTACACCAAGGTTCCAGGTGGCTCAGACCTTTATAAGGTTGATAATTGACTGCGTAAAATCTACTTAAAAGGAGCCCCTGAGAGAAGTGGCTGATTCGGCACCTGACATAGGAACTGTACCAGGTGGCATGGGTCAGAAAGCAAGAAAAGCAAGAAAGCGTTCAGAGACTGATACAGGCTTGTCCCAATACATTTGAGGAAAATGAGCATCAAAAATAATAATGCGGGTCGGCCGGGTGGCGCGATGGTTAAGAACTGGCTTGGGACGCCAGAGGGCCCCGGTTCGGATCCCACATATGAGGGCCGGTGACACTGCCCTCCACAGCTAAGATGCTGAACAACAGCTCAACCTGGAGCTGGGCTGCCATGAGTCGCTGGCGATAGCGTAGGCTGCAGCCCCTGTGGCAGTGGTTGCCATGGGCTACCGTACGTAGCCAGCAGCCAGCGTGAGCGGCCAGCAGCCGCCGTGAGTGGCCGTCCAGAAGCCGGCGACTGATCTGCCTCGCCCGGGAAGAGAGCAATGATGGTGCCAACTTGGGCCAGTGAAGCAACGTCCTCCACAACTAGACTGAAGAACAAAACGACAGCAACTTGTCTGTTCCCCTT